CAATTATAACCAACCAATCTAATGGAAATAATTTAACCGACACAATACATACTCTATTACTACTAAGCATTCTGAATAAGTACAAAATAATCTACCGGTTTACTTACTTAACGAATCCACGAATGAGTTATTAATATTACGGTCTGCAGCCCGCAATACTGATAAATCATCGTTGTCTCGATAAGTAGGCAACCACTCTCAAAGATATAACATTACTATTTTGTCACTCAATACAAAATACATACACTCGTCTCTACTACATTTATTTACTACTCTCTAGGTAATAACATACATAATAAGAAATATATCAGCCGAAGTCAACTAGAATGACCAATACGGTTGATTCAACTCTTATCTCAATAATACGTCGGCCGGATCCACTCCGCGTGGTCGGTACGGCCGAGCCTATAACTCACCAATTTCTCATGCGTCAGCCAGATCCACCTCTCATGGTCTGTACAGCTGAACATATAACTCATCAATCTCTCTGTACCCACGGTCAATCCGACCAAACTACTAAGTTCATAAACTTGTTGAATCGACACTACGATGTCATAGAAAACTGTTGGGTACAACTGATTCTAGGGACGATTCACAATTCTGTGTCCCCTCTGTTCACATAAACACATTCATTAATTTCACACTTCCCAAAGTGTTAATTTTTGTACCTGCAGCACAAAGTACATTTCCTTTACTCGAGACACCTTGTCTCAAATATCTGGGATTACCAGTATATCCATCACTTTTACTCTGACCAGCGACATTAAAACCTCAGCTGGAAGAATTAACTCTAGCTTCACTTCTTTCGAAGCTCTGAATCTTTCTATATCCTTGATAAGACGAATCATTAACTTTATCGTCTTCTTTTAATTCCCATTCATTTCTTATTCTTCTTTATTCTCGTTGATCATGTTCTCAGAGTCCTCAAGACTCAACAGCATCTCGTATATTCCTGGTAAGAAGTATAATGGATAGTGGTCACCCAAAATACCACTTCCCTTTTTGCCACCCAGCTTAAAACAACATAACACCTCCACCAAATTAACAACCATATCTGGATGGAACGAGGCAAGTCTGAAAACTTTCTATAATATCCCTCGATCATCACCTTCCTTGTCTCATATTTGTAAACTCTTGTTTACTACCATCGATAAATGCCGGAGGGATAAACTTTTCCTTAAACAAGTCCTTAAACAATTTTAAATCAGCTGTTCCTCCGGTGACAACACATCATACTCCTGTTTCCACCAGGATACAAATTCATACCCAAAACTAGGTAGTCGTCTCGACCCCCTGTCAGAAGGAAATTTCCTTTGACTTGCATAATCTGAAACATCTTTTCCAAATGGTTAAACCGTTACTTCGTTCCCTCAGGTTCATCATTTCATAAGGTGATTCAAATTCAACTCATAACCCGTCTTAAAATGTCCCTTTTTATAATAGACTGAATCACCATAATAATAGTTTCCCCTAAACCGCTATATTAGGGAGACTAAATTCCTCTAACTAAGTGGCTTGCTACGAGGCGGTGTAGTTCTGACAGAATTCACTAGAAACTTCTCAAGATGTCCAAGATTGCAACCATGCTCTGATACCAACTGACACACCCCGTCCCGAAGGAGGACATGCTGGCCGTCACGTGAGAGTGACGTAACCATTTGCACAGTACGGAAGCTTTAAGATACAATTTAAATTGATACACCCGAAGGTGAGTCCTAATTTTGTCCAATCTGTCAGAACAAACCGTCCGGTCGAATTCCTCGTAGTCACCACACCTTTGTGATTCCTGAACCTGGAGGGGCGCAAAACCAAAATTGAGTGGGTCAGTAAAACAATTCTTTTCCAAATCCAAACATTTCTCAAAACGTTGTAACCCCTCTCCGTAAAACCTGTATACTTTCCCAGAAATGTAAAATATAAATATACATATATATTCTCAAAACTTCATTTTTACTATCTCAACATTATCTCTTTATCAATCATGCCATGCCATGTCATCTCAACATTTCTCATATTAATTATGCCATGCCACATCATCTCAACAGTAATAAGGTATGAATGCATCAACATAATCATATCAGGTGCAAGAAAGTAATCAACCGTAGGCCCTCTAATAGCCCTATACGGTTGAACCTAGAGCTCAAAATCTATCATTATCACTCTACCGGAGTCACCTCTGTGACCCGTCCGGCCTTCTACACACAAGTTACGCTCTAGTGCTTCTCATAAATCATCTGTGCACATAATCTAAGGTCACCCACCAGTCGGAATCTCACTAACACTCTCGCGACTGGTCTGTCGTACCCACTCCGCGTGGACTGTACGACTAGCATCTACTTGGATCCAAGGCGAGCGTGCGATGCGGTGAATACTATAAGCACTAAACCATGGTGCAGGATTTGAGCTCAATATATATCATCATCATCATAACAGTAATTAAATACTCATCTGTGCGTCCACCGCACCATTTCATACATATGCATCATAAATCAATTCTTACCTGTGCGTCCACCGCACCAAATTCATACATATGCATCATATATTAATTCATGCATGGCATTTCAACTCACATTTCTATATACTTTTCATATCAATTCTATGCATGGTATTTCACTTCCCGTTTTTCCACATAACTCATATGCATTTCATTTTAAACATAATTTCATGCATTTTCAATTTCTGGGAAAAACGTTAAGTATATATATATATACGGAAAACAAAACTGCCCACTCACCTGGAGTTCGTCCAACAACTCCCTAGCACCACACATCAAGGCGTCACGACGATCGCCGCCTAGAATAGTAATCAAATCCAACCTCAGAATTCATATCGATAGAATATATAACTTATATAAAATACGTCACTACGTAGTTCGATCCGGAAGATCTGCCACTCAGATTTTAAATCCATCCATAACTTCCAGAGGTCCACAATATATCTCTAGGATAACATCCTAAAATTTCATTACCATCCAACGGTCGGATCTCCGTCAATTTCCAAAACTAAGTGACGGTTAACATTTTATATTATGAACTTACAATTCCAATTCCGGAAGATCCCTAACTCGGATTCCCAATCCGTAAGTTCCAATAATCCTCAAATATTACGTATTACAACGTATCAAAGTTTGGTGACGATCCAACGGTCGGATCATCAATTCACATTTTCACCTAAATGTGAAAACTATAAAACGTTATTTGAACACCTAACCAACAATCTTCAATAACTTTCTCATACGGTGTTCAATTTAGGTATATGAATACCACAGTGATCTACTCGACGTCACGGACGTCGACATATTTTTAAAATAATTTTATTTTTTATTTTTACTGTAGCACCTTCTTCTTCCTTGGGTCGCCGGACTGGTTTTTCCGGCGGCCGTTTTCTGGGCAGTTTTTCAAATTGCCATAACTTTGTCATTTCTCAACGAAATCAAGTGATTCAAAAACGAAAGTTGTAGCCCTTGAAGAGAAAAAGATAATGGTACCTTGCACAACACCTAGTTCGCCGTTGTTTGGCCGGAAACTGTCTCGAAAGCCTCGGAGGTCGCCGGAAACTGGGTATTTTTCAAATGAGTATAACTTCTTCAATACTCAACTAAATTGAGTGAAACAAAAAGGAAAGTTGTAGTACTTGACGAGAAAAAGAGATTGATACCTACCTCGACTCCTAACTCGCCGGGGATTCGCCGGAAAACGCCTCGAAAGCTCCGGCCAAACTTTGAACTTGTCGATCTCCGTGTTCTTACGTCCAAAAACTTCCAACGAAGCACTCCGAGCTTCCTTGGGACCTCAATAAGCTCGCTGTGATCTTGTTTTAGCCTAAATCGTAACCATTTAAAAGATCATGAACAGTATATAAACACGGGACCTTAAAAACTAGGGTTTTCCGAAGCAAAACTTACCTGAAAATGGTGTCTACGTGATCGTGGAGTCCTCAGGGTTGCAATGGTAGTCTTAACTTGGACGTTGGTATAGGTTTTAGGTGGTTTTGGTGGTTGCCCGTGCGTTCGAGAAGAAGAGAGAGAGTGAGAGTTTCTGAGGAAGAGCTGAGGAAGAGAGAGAGAGAGTGACTGAGGAGATGAGAGAGAGAACAAACGGGAAATGGGGAGGGGATTTAGGGTGTAGGACCCTACCTAAAGTCCAAACACAAAATTATTAGTCCAAGTTTAAGTTTAATTAACAATAACTTAGGAATTTTAGGTAAAACCAATACCAAAATTACGCACCTTAATCCCGTTTAAGGGCATTTTCGTCTTTTCACGTCCTCGGAATTAAAATTCCAGGACGGGCTGTGACAATAACCGTGTACCCATTTAACTGTAACCGTTTAGTACCTGTTTACCTATTTATCATTTTTAAACCCGTTTATCCTTTCTTTTTTGCCATTTACTCATTTTTCACCCATCTACGTGTTTTTTTAACAATTTGAAAATTAAAAAAGAAAAATTTGTCATAATTTTTTTTTCCAACAGTTAAACACCGTTATACATCATACAGTTCCGCATTTTAATTTTTTAAGTTCGTATACCATTCCAATAATTGAAATAATAGTTTATAGATGATATTTTTAACTGTTAGCAATGAAGGTAATATAAAATTTGCTAAGCATTATTGAGTTACAAAAATTGTTAAAAGACAGTATTCTTGGGTTATTTGACTCGGAATGTAAAATATTAACATAATATATATAATGGACCATGAAATTTAAAGTGGTTAAGGAAAACTATATTATATTAGCTATAGAAATCATGCACTATAGTCAATAGCATTGATCTAAGTTTTGTCTGATAGGAAACATGGTTTGTGTTAATTTTACATATATAAAATAAATGGGTAAATGGTTACCCGTTTATAACCGTGGTTAATACCTATAACCGTCCATTTAAATTTCACGGGTAAACGGTTATACCCATAACCGTTTATTTATCTAAATAATTACCCCATAACTATAACCGTGAAATTTAAATGGGCGGTAACCGCAGGTTCCCATCCCTACCCTCAACGCATCAGAAAATCACTAAGAGCAATAAACTATACACAAAAATCTCTCTAAGAGTAAACTTGTATGTATCTAGTGACGTTCTGCAGTAAAATCGGGCTCAGCGGGCTTCTGAGGCAGCAGAGGCAGCAATGTTGGTGGCGGTCTAGTGTCGCGGTTACCCTTTTGTCGCAACCCTCGCAGCGCGTTGGCTGCAAACTTTGATGCATATACAGCGGCAAGGAGGCTAGGTGAGGTTCCTGCATCTCTTGTCAAAGCATCTTGCAATCTGTCCTCTTCTTCGCGTAACGACTTCTCGAGCTTTCTCTTCCAGTGCCGGCGCCATGCTGCTTGTATGAAACAGGCTGACCATGTTCTCCACTGCTGGGAGTAGAGCCTGAAAAAGTGAAATTGTAGTTTACAGCATAAGAAAACGACATCCGAAGACCAAAACTATCAACGAGAACACTAATCGCAATCCATATATCGGATTAATGCTGCTTTTTCATAACACAAGTTTCCTTCAAGTCATTAGAATCACTGTAATCTGAAGCTTGCCTGAAAGTGTGTTGGAGCTGCTTGCTGTGCATGCGCCGAAACTGGGAGGCGACAAACTTCAAATCATCAGCCATGAGCGCAAACGCTTCAACCTCGGTTTTAGCTTCCACTGTCCTAGTTGAGGTGGGGAGATTGGTGGAGGAGTTTGGATCCAAGGCCCATGTAAGAAGCTCTTCTCCACAGAAGTCACCAGCCTTAAGATCAGCAGTGTTAAAGAAGCCAGTTCTTCCACCATTTGTAGTCATGGTTGCTAAATTTCCGCGCATGATAAACAGCATCTCATCTACTGGATCACCTTCTCGGGTTATATAGCTCTTGTCCGTGTATAGTACTGGCTTGAGGCGATCGCACATGGCGTCCATCAGCTGTTCATCCATTTTTTCGAAAATTGGCACCTACGACAAATTGAGCTGATTAACAAAACTGCTAATATTTGGAGAAAACGAGGATGCAGAAGTTATTAGTGAAAACACTCACTCTCTGGAGAAGAGCCAAGCAAAGATGGCGCTTTATGTCCTTTCGTAGGTCCTTGGGAAGGTTACGAACTAGAGTATCTTCGTCAACACCTCTTGTTTCTTGCCATTTGTACTGATCATACCGTCTAATCCTTTCCCTCAAGTTCTCCGGGAGCATTCGGTGTGCCATCCACTGTTCTGCATCGCGCCTTTTCACTCTCATTTCTTCTACTCTCACAGTTGTGGACTGCAGATATTTCTACAACATCACAAGAAACAAGGTCAGCATCTTAGGCTTTTGCTCATTCAATCTAGGACAAAAGTTCAACTTTTACCTGCATATTGCCAATGAGCAACGAAAACAGAACTAATCCCAAAATCGATATGGTAACTGCAAAGACTATCTCCCAAACAAATGTACTTGTTTTGAGGTTTTGGCCAAGTGAACTGCAAAACTTCAGAGTTTTAGCTGCTACACTTCACAATGCTAAGTGATTAAGAAAGGAGAGTTAAAGGATCACGATTACGAACCTAAGGTTGCGCAGTCCCCACCAGAAGCAGAACGACAATTTCTTTGGAAAATCTCTTGTCTCCACCACACCAGACGCCAGAGCATCATAATATATCCCAAAGTTGAACACCGATGAATTTTTAATGTCGCCCGGGTCAATGAAAGGGCAAGAAGCGTTTTTATTTGCCACAAAGCTTGCATCAGTGTCATTCTTAGAATTACAGTACAGGAACTTCTTACAACGACGGTCTCCATTGCACTGATCGCGCCAGCACCTATACTCACGTTCCACGGAGAACAAGTACCAAAAGGCTCCAATTATCTGGTATAACGCATTTACCACCGGATCAGAAATGCCACATGATTTTCTCAGATATTTCTGAGGACGTGAAAACTATCAAAACATCAAATCAGACTTACATGACTGGCTAGCATGTAGAGCAGAAGATTGAAAGCAGCTCCGGCCCATGCTGTTTCGGTCAGGAAGCCAGAAGTTCTTGTTACTTCTTTGTAGAGTGGATAGATCCTCCAAAATCTCGGCACATATTGCGCAACGATTACAAACTTCATCATGTCCTTTGCGACCAGTGAAACCGGAAGTGATATTGTAGGAATTACAATAAAAACTACAGCCTGAACAGATGTAGCAGAACCAGGAAAAACGTCAGTATTTGAGTTGCGGACATAAGTTCCAACCAGAGATATGGTTAACAGAAACCAATCCGTTATAATAAAATCCAGTGCAAACACCTGACTATACCTGTGGCAATGGAAGAATGGCTAGAATGTCAATGATGAAGTATGAGGACAAGTATCTTTTCGCAATGGCCACGGGGTCATCAATTAGCTCACCCCTCCCAAATACGCGAGAAGATGGGGCAATAAACCCCGTGCGGAACTGAAAGATGATGTGAAGTACATGAAAGATGTCGGTAAATGATCGAAGAACACAAGCAATGATCTGCAATCTCCTGTCCAAATCAACGCATTTGTATTTGCCATCAACCACCGGGGTATAAAGAAACAGCGGGTCCAAGGACACAGCAATGACACAAGAGAGCACAAATATCTTATTCCAATTCTGAAGAAATGACCCCTGAGGGTCAAGAATTTTCCTCCTCGAGCCTGACTCATTTGCTAGCCGGTTGCCTACGGAAGTGGAACTTAATGGTTTTTTCGAGCTTATAAACCTGTCGGAACCTCTATCTAGTCCTCTCCGAATACTCCTCAAAACTGCATTCACAGATGGTATCGCTCTTCTTGGATTTCGTCCATCATCAGCAGAAGCGTCTCTTTCAGAACTTAGAGAACTCTCCGATTGCCAATCTTCAAACCTGGATGGAACAGCAAACATAGCAAGCAGCACCGGAGAAACTAGTTAGATAAGGCAGACAACTAAATCAAGGATCAACCGCATGAAAATGCTCCTAATTAAATTCAGTCTTCTCTCAAACGAGTCAGTTACTGCATTTAAATGATAATATTTCAGTAAATGTAACTGTATTGCTGCACTAGGGTTTCTACATATCTCAATCTGTCTCCTAATGCTTATGCCGATTGCTTTAGTCCCGTGAATTAGTAACATAACATAACGCAGGTGCACAAACAATTGCGTGAAAGTATATCAGATTCCGAAAGTAATAGCTGCAGCATTGAACAAACTAACCTTACAAATTTAAGCCCCTTGGAATTCATACTTGTGATATTCAGATTCCCGTTGTTCACCGATCTTCGGTATTGAAATTTACTTATCTAGAAACTCGAAGAGGCGCACGATATAGTAGACCTAACAAGAACAGCAATAGAGATAAATGTGATCAGCCTCTAAAGCAAGAGTGACGAACATGGTCATAAATTTATAACAAAAATTTTCCAATGGAATCGTCAGTCTGAAAAATCGATGTTTCCACACTCGAAAAAATCAACTATGCAGTGATCATTTTCTTCTAAGCTAATTAATCTAATCATTCCACATTCAAAGTAAAACATAGCATTGACTCAAAGTCGGAACAAAGACAGAATATTACCAAAAAAGGAGAAACAGGATGAAAACATGGCAATCGAGAATGATCCATAAATAAACACGGATTAGAAAAACCGTAACAAATTCAGAAAAATTAAACTATATAACACCCTTTGCCCCGTCACACAAGTTATAACTTTCTGTTTGGTTGCTAAGAAAAGAAAGTTTCAACACCGCTGTGCTTGTCTTGTTATACCTTATTTTCCCACATCATGGAAACCCATGTCAGAAAAAGCTAGACTGATGTATCCGACCAAAACCCAACAAGGATGACGCTTGTTATTGTTTCCTTCCTGATTTTCCCAAAGTTCTGAGTATTTTCTCTTCTTTTCCCACCTTTTTTTCTCGGACCCCAAACAGAAAACCAAAGGCCAGAAAACTTTAGGACGAAGAAATCAAGGAAAAAACAACTTGTAGGGAAATTTCGTTTCTGAATAATGCAAAACAAGTTTTGCAGAGAGAGTCTGCAAATGGCAGTTATATGTGTTCTTGTGTGAGTTTTAAGAGAGAGGGAGAGAGAGAGATAATAAAGAGGGAGGGGAAAAAACACAAGGCACGGATGGAGTCCACGCTTGAGAAGAGTCTAAGTCAAGCCCGACGAAACTCCAAAGAAATTGAGGATGGTCAGACTAACTCGAGTCATCAGTTTACCATGTATCACTCGTTTATTCGATTAATAATATAAACTTTCGAACACGTGGCATGTATTTATTGAACGTTAATAATATTGAAGCTAAATTTTAGTTGTGAAAAAATCTCTCATCTTTCATTACTTCGAGTGAATTGAAACTCAGTTGATTAAAAACATTTACTTTTGCACCTGAAATCCTATGTCCAAATCTCTCATCTTATGTCATTAGTTAAACATTTAACCTTGATATAATATTATTAATAGTAGCCCAAATGTGGCCAGGAAATTAAAGATTTGAATTAGTCTTTTGGTAATATGTGACAGTCTACCTTATTTGGTTGGTTGCACTTAATATTTATTACTTAACATTTTTGGATTGAACAAATATTAAAAAAAATCCATTTAAATAAGAGTGGTTAAAAGGCTTGGTCAAATCAAGCTCCACAGCATTTCAACCTTGTGTGCTTCTCCTCCTCCTTCCCCCGTTGATTAAAGAAATATATGTAGGGTGTGACTTCGACCAGTTTCTGAAATATCAAAATTATATGAGTAAATTTTGGAAGGTTCTATTTCATGCATTTTTGTTAATTTTTATTTTATTTTAATCTTATTCAATTTATTTGATCCAATGACAAGAAATTAAGAAAAGTGTATGAGAAGTAAAAATAGATGTGTGGATAGGCACTATCCTAAATTTTAGTGATCAGGGTTGAAAAATTACTAATTGTAAAAAAAGACAATTTAGCGGTTCATTATTAATTACAAAAGATTTTGACGTAACTCAAAATGGGATCGCTTAATATAAATCATATTTGATTTTGTAAATTTTTTGACATGTGATTTTTGTATTTTTTTTAACACTAATTTGATCTAATACGGAACGAAATCGAATTAGGGATCCAACCCACGGCGATTTAGCTTGGAGCCACTCTAATGTGTTGAGTTTTTTTAAAGGGAACTTTAACGAAAATCTCTCAATATTATTTACTTTAACGAAAAGATTCTTGTATTATTTACTTTAACGAAAAACAATATTTTTACACTAAAAAATCAATCCTGAAACTATTTATTTTACCCTTTATTTTGTCTTTATCATTAAAATTCAAAATTTTCAAGTCATTTTCATTAATTTTTCTTTATTTAAACCTAGCTGTTGCACTCGAGTTGGCCACCTAACTCGTCTAACTAGCCAATCTTGCACCTTCAGCAAATAGTAAACGTTAGGAATTGTTATTAGCATTAAAAATAGTAACATTACACTAGAAATAAATGTCGAATAACTATGTAAGAGTGTTAGTAGCAGTTCTCAGTATGGGCGGATTTATTTGGGGCCTGGGTGGTCTCAAAACTCTCTGAAGACCAAGGAAAAATGCATGTGAAGGTCCATCGGGAACCATTCGAATATGATACTAAACCTTTTTCTGCCCATAAAGTGTTTGATAAAATGTTTTCTAGGAATATCTCACTACCATACGACATGGAGTCTCGTCATCACTTGGCAGATTACTTTGGCATTTAACGAGATGAACACAAATGACGATTAACCCACTAAGTGCTCGACAAATTTCCTCACTGGCTTTGATGTTTTACCCAAGACCCCCTAAAATTAAAATCTTGAATCCGCCATTGGTTCTCGTAAATTGTCGAATTATGAATTACACTGTGTAGCACAGTTATAAAGGAAAACTAACGAAAAGTCCAAACAAAACTTTAGTCCTAATGAAAAATGACAAATGAAGGTATAGTGAATAGTACAAGGAAAAAGTAAAATGTGATTTTTCATTAAAAATAAACAGTACCGAAAATATTTCGTTAAAACTCATTGGTCATAATTCAACAACTCTTAAGTAACATAGACATGACCTAATTGTGCATACCATGTTTGGTCATTGGCACTATCCCAAGCACGACAAAAACGACTCGTCTTTCACACAAAGGGAGGGACCCCCAAACAAAAGCCTCTTCAATCATTTCACATAGATTTTAAGTAACCTCATCCCCTCCCTTCAAGTCCCAATAAATCCACAACCCCACCAATGTCATATAGCCCATAGTGCACCTCTTTTTCTTTAAGACTTGTTGCATTTATGAAGTTCTGTTTTTCCATCCATACTAATACTCTCGCGACCTATATTTTTTTTTTAGTACATCAATATTTTTACATTAGAATGAGTTTAGTTAAGCCACACAATAGATAACCTAATTTAGTATCAAATTCGTCATCCACAATATTCGAACCTAAAACCTCTCAATTTTAAGTAAAAAAAAATACTACCAGACCATAATACTGAGTGGCCTCACAACTTTAGAGCTAACTATCTCGACTAAGCTATCTTATTTGTTAGGGGAGCTTAATCGAGGAAGTATTGCACCACAAATCGTTTATATCTTCTCTACTGATTTCTTCGATTTGTCGAGAAATTTCGCTGAATGAGAATACAACGTTCGTGCTCAAATAGTATCTCTGATTGTCGAAAAAAAATCAAGATTTTAGGATTGAGAGATCATTGATGACTTGAGAAAATTGAAGGATTAAGAAAAGATCAACGTTTTGATCCCACCAACCATTGTCTCAAAACAAAACCAAAAAACAGAAAAGGAGGGTACTTTTTTATTTGGGTAAATTACATAATAGAGATTACTATGTAATTTGTCCTTTTTATTTTTATTTTTTGGAAACTGAAAAGGAGGCTACTTAAGAAAAAGTACGTAGTGTGAATATAAAGACTTTGTTTATCATACGTGAATAGAAAATGGTTGTCCACATACGTAGAAAGGTCCATTACTTAACTAGTTGAAATTTGAATAGGTCTTCCTTGTGCACTGATTTAATTTTAATAGGAAAATCAATAAAAATTACTTGAAATTTTTTAGTTTTAACAATAATGACAAAATAAAAGATAAAGTGAATATTACAAAGATTGATTTTTTATTGTAAAAAAGTGGTTTTTCGTTAAAATAAACCGTACATTAAGTTTTTCATTAAAGTTCCCTTGATTAATCCAAATACGGTCTTTTTAGAATTAATTAGTCAATTAGCAATTTAGAAGCACTTCTGCAAGTTGGTTAACAACAACGCTTTCAATTGGAGAATTTAAAGAAAAAGTACAACTATAATGCAAGGAAATTGAAAGAAGCGCAAAAAGGGTAAAACGCGGTTGCTAGCATCAAAGAGAGCCATCATCGACGATAAAGCGGGAGTCGAACTTGGCGAATGAGCTCATGGCTGCGCAGGAGAGGAAAGCAGGTCTGATCGCACCGTAGATCAAGTTGTAACCGAAGTAGGCCAAGAAAGAGTGGAAGCTTCGCACCTCACCCCGAGGTGCATAACTTGCTTGTTAAAGAGTGTTTGGATAGTTGTTCCCTAGTCCACGGAAGTGGGTGGAAAAAATAAGTCAGGATTAAGCTAGTCGAGTTCGGGGACCTCCATTTTAGCGAAAAATGTTATGAGTTCAAATAAAATCTCCCCAAGTTCGAAACATCCTTCCATAAGTTAGACTAGATTAGAATATTACTTGAACAAAAAGAATCTTGATATAGATCCTGTATCCGGAGAGTCCTGCACAAGGGCTCAACTGACCATGAGTTCGGCTTTGTTTTCCCATTAAATTGAAAACTGTAATGGTTACCAAACGGCCCAAAAGTATATTCGAAAAACATGGTTCGACTTCATCAATTTGCGGATAATATAAATAGCTCAAATATGTGGCAATTTATTTGGCCCAATTAACATGACAAAGAAATGGAATTGTTCAACTTTCCTTGGGATCCTATTAAGCTCCCATGACAGAAAAATAGCAAGATATGCAGAACTGGGGAAGAGGCAGATGATTACGACTAAAAATGGCGATGATCATGCCGGTTTATCCAAATTACAGTACTGAACGTTCTCGGATAATTAAGTTTTTCGAGTAAAAGAAAATTACAATGCTAGACTAGCTAGTGATGTAACAAGTTTCCTATCCGTCTGCTAATACAGATCAAACTAGCTAACCAGAAATATTCAGTTCTGTTAACGATAAAATCCTGAAATGCCTACTAAATTTATTGTCCTTCCCTAACAATTTAAAGTGAAAAAAGGGGACTTTCCTCACCTTTGTCTAGGGTTTCTCCTCATCTGACTGAGAGCATGGCGGTCCGGGTACAGAATCAACAAAGAACTCCTCCACTGATGCAAGGAAAAGCTAGTAAGTTATATTTGAACCCGCCTGACCAATATTATTTTGTAAAAACTACATATAAAATAAAACGGTAGAATAAGTGATGCAACTCCAATTACCTATATCCTCTTGCTCTGGAGAATCGAGTAAAATTTCAGAATCAGACGGCAGAAAGGGTGAACCGGGGTAGTTTCCTAAGGCTCCTAAATCTGCACAGAAAATCAAGGCAATGCAATTATGAAAACATGTGATACTATGCAAAAGCAGCTCTATTGCTCTGTTCATACTTGCATCTGACATGTTATATGTGCCTACTCATGTGATTCATTCAGAAGACAGTTGCTAACTTAAAAGCTAGTAGGAAAAGGAAATGCTCAAAAATTTGTTTCGATGATTTTAGAATGTAACATTCCCGCTATACTTTTGGAGGAAGGAATGAAAAGCTTGTACCAGATATTGGGACTTAGCACGCATGCGCAATATTTTGGAGATAACTCCAGTGTGTCTAGATGGAAATTGTAACTAATCATAGACGACACAACTTTACTTATGTATAGACAATCTAACAAAAATTCCTATTACAACGGAAATGCTCTATACTAGTAAAAGGTAGCTCAAATGCTTTATGGCCATAACAGTCGAAAAGAAGAATTAACACTTGATGACTGCTACAAGTGATTCAAATCAACTCAAAATTTAGACATATAATTGCTCGGAAATTGCTCAATACTATAAATTACCTCCCAAGTTTGATAAATCTGCTGTAAGATCTGATAAACTGAGATTCCACGGAATTGGAATTTGGTCCAGTGATCTGAGAGAATCCCGAGAATTTCCAGCTCCACAATCAGGTGCAAGTTGCAATCCGACAGAACTTGCCACGTCAGATGTAAATGGTGTATCAAGTGACGTGTCTACTCCCATTCCAGATATTTCTGAAGCAGAGAACGGGAAGTGACCACTCGATGCAACTGATGTAGGACTTACAGGCATCTCCGACATGGATGACATGGCACTGTTTGGTGGAATGACAGGAACCACATCAGCACCACTGCAGTCCATCATAATACTTCAAAAAGAATAGGAAATAAAAAAAAAATAAAAATAAAACTGCCATTAGAAAGCTTTTATCAACCGAAACAGGAAACAGGTGCAAAGACAAGGGAATGTCATCCAATACATTAGTTCCATAGGGAAAAGAAAATGTTCAAACCTATGTAATTCCTAATAGAATGGGAAATGGGGTACAGAAGAACAAAAGCGTCTCTAAGGTTTCAGTAACAAATTAATTGGTATGTTGCATGACTAATCAAAGAGAGAGGGAGGGAAAAGACAAATTCTCACTCATTCCCAGAACTCATCTGCATGGGATGAAAGCTGCTAGGTGCAGGTACCCCATTAACTACATGACAGTTGGATATTGCACATCCCATGGAATCGAGATGGGGTTGACCTGCTGCTGGCATCGGAGGTTGCTGAAGGACGGGGTATCCCATAGGTAAGTTGTTAACTGCACTGTGAACAAGTGGCAATGAATACTAACGAAAACTATTACATAAATATGTCATACTACATATTGCCACAAACTGACATGCATATAGAGATCCTTAGACACCTTAGAACTTACAGAAATAATAATTCTTTAATTATCACTATTGAGAATAACATTTGAACTCTTAAAGTCAAATGAGAGTTCATCCAAAGTTCTAAAGACGGAAGCATATCTCTGTTAGCATTGAGGAACCAAATTGTGATCCCTATGCATCCACTGAGAGAGATGAGGATAAAGTAGAGCTCATAGAATTAATTCATGCGTTTATACCATCATGTTACTGCAAGCTGAAAACTTACCAGGCATGGGATGGATCCCATTTTGTATGGGGGCCAAAGGAACCTTCAGAGGCATGAGATTATACTTCGAGAGATGATAGTGATGTTCCAGCAAATGATTGAAAAGGAGGATTTGTTTTTTCAATTTTAGCCTTATGTAATAGGCCCTGAAAAAGTCGGCATTTTCTTCTTCCAACTTCTGCCATACTGTATCAACAAATAAAAATAAATAAAAATAAAAAAGAGTAAGCATTTGCCATTTTCTTCCAACTCATGATCAAAATTATAAAGATAAACATGTAGCTTTTCGAGATTAGATGTTTTATTCATTAATCCCTCACTATACAAGAAGAGAAGAATTCAGGATCGTACTGTCAACAATAGCTATAGAAAACAACTACATCAGGATTCTCTTTTCAGAAATAATCGAATTTACAGTATAAATACTTAAGTAAATGTAATGGCAGTACTGACAATACAAATACTTCAACTTATAAATAGGTTTCGAGTTGCCTACCCAAAGTTGTAAATCCAGGATCTATCCTTGCATGAGTCAAGAGGGTTTTAACTACCTCATCTCTATTCATATATAATTGTAAACACCGCTCTATAAGATTCTGGACCTAAACATTTGTTGTGCACAATATACCATCACACAGATGAGAAACAGATTAGTCAAGCTTTTTCACAAACATTATTCAGAAAAGGAAACAAAGTAAGACGTAAAGAACAGAATACAAAATGTAGAAAAGAAAAGAAAAGATTGCCGAAAAATGTCCTTACAAGTTCAATATCTTGGCGTGATACTTTCTTGTTATCATTGCCTGAATTAGATATTGAAGCTGAATCTGTTGCAGGAGGCTTATTACTTTGGTTTTTCACTTGGTCACCTTGTGAATCATGTAAAACTTGAGTTGATGATTGATTTTCTTGCGTGCTCTGTGAATCCGAAAATAGGACTTTCTCTTTAGTCAGAAGCTATATGCGCAAACAAGAAGATATGGCTCGCTAAAAATGTGAAGAATTATGAGTGGCACCTGTAAGTTCTTCATTTCATCTGAATGCAGGTGGACCACATGTCTTCAGTATGGCTCTGGTATCCCCCATGCAAAGCTCGTCTTTGCTGATATCATTACTTTGCACTTGTAAACAACACTAATAACTAAGGCCGTTTTCACCTAGAATGAAAGATGAATGACAAAAAAATAAACCTACCCAATTAAATACTAGACCAAATAAGTCGTGAACATTTCACGGTGAAAACACATAAAACCATTGCTAAAATAACACAGAAGCAAGATCTGGTTTATCAGTAAACAACACGTATTCTAAATTCTGAAGCATTTAGATCATAAGTTTCTACTGAATTTAATGAACAAAGACGTATTTCTCATTTTAAAACACTAATGTACAATAATGAGCTCAAAGAAAAGCATTAACTATATAATTTAATAGTCAATATTTGTGCTTTATCTACCTTGGTCCAGAAAAATCGCCGGTAAGCTTTTAAATACACAACGAGCACATGTAACAAATCGGGTTTAGAGCAAGCATACACCTAAAACGATTGCCTCATTACCATAACAAATGACGATTACTACTCTATTCAACGACGCTAAAACATAAAAAACAAATGGATGTATTTACAGTCCAAACAAGTTCCTTCCGAAATCTTTGGAGTTTTCACTTTTGATCAACAAAAGAGAATCTAAAGCTTGCTTGGAATTTTGTGTATTTGCCATGCTCTTTGGAGTAGCAAAGAATTGCAGCTTTGTTACCACAAAATGCCTAATCTTGAATATTATGTAAGAACGTTAACACCCTAATAACTGACAAAATCTAAAAAATTCACAAATTATTACAAATATGAAAATTAGGGTTCATCCTTCAACATCTCAGAAATAAAAAGATTTTCAAAACCAGTTAAGTTCAGTCAGATCTGAGTAAGTCCAAATATCTCAGCCAAGTCGCTACCTTTACACTACATACAAGCTTAACCATGAAAATAAACTAATTTAATCAAAGAATTCAACTTAATTAACCATTAAAAAAATTAAAGACAGAAAGACATAGTTCTAAAAGAATCAATAGAAAAAAGGAAAAAGAAGTGAAGATCTAGCAATAAAATAAAATATATTACCTTAAAATCCCAGGAACAAGAATCTCCAAGACAACAGAGCAGACACACTTTATTTCGACAAATTTGAGAAAACACAGTTCCAAAATCTCCCAGAAAACAGAAAGACACACGTTGTTTCGACGAATTAAGAAAACCCAGTTCCCCTTTTCAAGCTGAAGAGTCAACAAAAATCCAACTGAGACCCCTCTCTCTCTCTCCCTCTCTCTCTCTCTCTCTAAAAAAAGCTTCAGCATGTACAAAAAGAAACAGACTTGGCAGCTCAAATTATGGACTATGGCTTTTAATTAGCTGGTATTAGTTCAAGATTTACTTCCATTATATCTACATGGAAAAAAAAAACAGGAGGAAGGAGGAATTGGGAGTTGAAAGGTTGCTGCTAGATAGCTACGGCATCAATGGAAGGTGAAGCATGAGAGAGACAATTGTAAAGAAACAAAAATCACACCGGGTTTGAGATGATGTTTGGGTTTGGCTTTTATACACTTGACTTGAGTTGGGCCTTCTATTTTCAAACTTAATTTTCCCGGAAAATTCAATTATGTGAGAAAGTGAAATTCTCTTGAAAAATAAATTGTTTAAATGAATAAATAGAAATTATCAAGCTATTTATTGGCTCGTTTATAAATACTTTTAAAATATCTAAAAACGTTTTGATGTAAATATTTCTGAAACCAATCTTTAGTAAAAACGTAAGTGAATTCAGGAAAAATATTGTGCTTCCTCCAGGAAAAACACTTATAAGAAGCACTTCAAATACTTTTGAAACCCACAAATATTTTTTTTCTTTCTAAATTATTTTTAAAACATTTTCAAATGAGTCATATCATCTTGTAATGTTTTTGATGATCGGCATCGTCCAACTTCTTGATCATCTTAAAGATCAATTATGCAGAAAATCAATTAAATAAGAAATTGTGCAACCATTAGATTAACGTTGTCAAAATTTCAATATTAATGTGAGAAAAATATTTTATCTATTTATTAAATAACCATTAGATTACTCAACAATTTCAAGTTTAGTTAATGTTTTTGCATATGTAATTTTTAAAAGGTTAATCATAAAATAAACTATTCGAATCATTACAAAATATATCAAGGATGAAGAATATCTGAAAATGTAAAACAAAAAGGTGCAAATAAGAAGACTGCTAGCATTTCTTTATTCTATTTAGGAGTTTAATGGCTTGGGCCATGGGCTCTTCATAATTGTACGATTATTCTTACCACAATCTTATACCACCTTATGTGGTTGCTGAGTTGGACATAACACCTCACTTAATTACAGTATACTTGGATTTCCATATAAATTTTATTAATTTTAATTAGTTTTTGTTTGGAAACAAATATTAGATTGAATTAAAACACTTTAATTTTCATATTCTTGCATCCCTCATCCAATCGCCCTCAAATACGCTTTTCGCCATCCCAATCTCCTCCTCCCTCCTTAAAGTTCCTTTAATTGTCTTCTGCTTCTTCATCCTCCTCCTTTCCAGAAAAAAAATAGAAAGAACATAAAAAAAAGGCCAATTGCAAGAGAAAAAAAAAACGCATAATTAATTTCAATAATTGGCAAGCAACTGCAGCATAAATATGAGAATTTTTCAAGAACAGTGAGCCCATAACCTTCAATTTGATAGAAAACTTGTTCCTTTTGACTCCATCAAATTTTTAAACATGCATATAAAGTCATTGTTCAGAAACGATTAGCTAACCCTTATTTTATGACAATAAAAAGGAAAACAAATACGATCAGTTAGAAACAAAATAAAATTTGACAAAAAAATGGAGATTGCAGAAGGTTGAAGAGGAAGGAGGAAGGAGATTGGGGTGAGAGGGAGAAAGGAGATGGAGTGGAAAACGAAGCGTCAGACCTAATCAATTCTAATTGGGGTGTTTTAATTATAATTTTTTAAAAATGAATGTGTTAATTATAGTAATAATAAAACTAAAACTAAAGATGTGGCATGTCCAAGTAAGCTGCCACATAAGGTGGTACATAAATTATGGTATAATAACATGGTAAGAATATCATTACTCTTTTGTATGATATTTTTTGGGAATTGTTATTTTTACTCCAAAAAATTTATTTTGACCTTCATACTTTTTATAATTAGAGAAAAAAAAATACATTTGTAAGGAGTGTAGAATGAGATTCTTGAAATGCTAAAAACAATTCTTTTTATTTTTATTTTTAAATACAATGATATATGTATAATAAGAAGTAAGGATGATAAATTCCTACCGTAATAGCTATCTAAGATATTCAAACTGAATATCTCTCACTTGTAGGTGAAGATTATTTTCCTAAAAAAAATATATAATATCTCATTTACTTTGTTGTGTAAATACCAGGAGGATCCTCGCCATATCCTCTTTGTGAAGATCCTAGGAATCTTCCAATTACATCCATTCATCATACATCGTGCGGTTGGAGGATTCCTAGGATCCTCACAAAGAAGATCCGACGAAGATCCTCTCGTGTAAATAAAAATTAGTAAATAGAGCCACATAGATGATAATGGGGCAGTATTCACGGCTCACAAGGCCTTTGTGGTGCAGGCACTTGTCATGGTTCACCAGAGAGCAGCCTTTGTTTTCAGGAACCGGATCCTCCGGATCCAAAGGAACTAAGCCCACTCATCAAATGATCCGGGCCAGTGAAATTTGATTCAATGGCTACAAACAGAGGCTCTCTAAAAGTTAAAAAAAATTGTAGCCGTTGGATCAAATTTCAATGGTCTGGATCATTTGAACATTGAGATCAGTTCCTTTAGATCCGAAGGGGATCCGGTTCCTTGTTTTCCCAAATCTGTGCTAATAATATATTTTCTTCCTTTGAAATTTAAGTCAATTTTCTTTATCAATATATATTTTTTGGTTATTTTGTTTTTCATTTGATTTGTCACGTTTGCCATCTTTATGACAAATTTGCTCAGGACTCTTGTTTATGTTGGTCTATGTGGTAGTTGTATGGGTGTTTAAAATCATTTACATTTTGTTCGACATATCTCCAGATCAATAAATTGATCACTAAAAAAATGTACTCATCTGACACCTATTGTATATTCTCCCAATGATATTTGGTTGAAATTAAGTATAACATAACATAACTAAATTCAATGTGAGAGACCTACTTACTTTTCAATTCTTGTGTTAGTAAACAAATGACATGTGAGGAATGAAAATGTTGCATAACTTTGCATACACATTTATGGTAAGTAAACATATCACTGTGCAAGCAGACTCTTAGGGTTTTGGAGATGGTGCACTACTCTAAGTACATCTTAATTATTTACCATATTATGATTAATGAATAATCATACACATGTCATTTTTTAAATCATTCATTATCTTAATCACCATTTAAAGATTGAGTCTACAAAAACCAACCAAATTATAAATTGTTTGGTCGCCTATTTGTATCACAAGCATCTTAATTGTTACTAACCATCAATCTATTTGTACATTATCAATTACTAACGAGTCTCATTTGATTGATTTTTTTGCATAAGTACATTTTAAATTGGAATTTAAGAGATGAACACTTCAGTTACAAAATGTGTAGAGTGAAGATTTGCTAATCACAACTAAGGTGAAGGAATTGCATTCTAGGGCACACCTTTATGAGTATCAAAGTACATCTAACAACCCATTGGTAGAAAATTTAGCAGCCCCAATCGCCTTTCCAATGTTGCATCGTGATCACTTGATACAAGTCTTTTCAACCTTCACTGTTATGGATTGGAAAATGCGATCGACCAGATGTGATATTGCGTTTAGAGCAATAAGTTAGTGGCAGGATTTCTTGAAGGCTTCTCGAACCACCAACTTTAATTGCTTATATAATAGTAGCCATGGAGGTATCAGTTGATCGATCAAGTGGACCAAACCTCCTCCGGGAAAACTCAAAATAAATGTCGACGGGGCTTGAAGAGAGGTGGATAAAGTGGAAGGTGTTGGAGTTGTAGCTGCTAGAGTTCGAAGGTTCAAGCATGTCTTCTCGTCCGCTCATATTGAAGCATCGGCAGCTAGGGAAGGAATAGCTTTGGCGGTCGAAAGGGCTTTTCAAAATTTAACAATTGAAGGAGATTCACTCCCAATTGCAACAGCGCAAGGGAGCGCACCAAAAACTTGTCTCCTATTGGACACGTTGTGGAGGACGCCAAAATCTATGTTGGTTGATATTACTGGAGCATTATTTATCCATGTGCGCCACCAAGCTAATGAGATTGCCGATCGTCTGGCTCGCCGCGCCTGTTCGGAGTCTGTTGACAGTCATGGGTCATTGACCTTCTTCTGGAAGAGTGCTCTAGCGATTAGCCTGTTGTGGTTCTTTGTATGTCCTTGTTGTTTTCTCAATCTTGTCCTTCTAATCAATGAAACAGCTATCGTTGCTCTAAAAAAAAATTATTCTCTAATTTCCAATTTGCAGTTACATTTTTCTAATAACAGAAGTGCACACGTAACAATATGATGCAGACATGTGGCATGATATCATCACTGAAGTCACACACATGTTACGGGTCAGAATTTGTTTTCATATCATTTTTTATGATCCGGCCTCCCATTAAATAAGTTATTAGACTACCACACATGTAACATGTTATAAATTTCTTGAAAGTTACTACTTGTTAGATTTAAGAGTTTAGCCTGTCTAGGATAGTTGTGTGTGACACATAATTTTAGAACGAGGATTTGTAGACTTGAAACTCGAACTTGAATATCGAAGCAGAGACCAGAAACCCTTAGTTCTAAACCAAACAATAGAGAATTCATACTTGATTCAACTTTCAACCAAATAATAGATACTTGTTTTAAGGGCGGTGCTATATGCACTGTAACATCCCATATTGTCCAGGGGAGTAGATCATGTAAGCCTTATATGTAGACCTATAAACGGGTCGGGTTTATTGGGTTTGGGTCGGGTTCAACCCGACCCGTTAAGTTAACGGGTCACCCGAACCCAACCCGTTAAGCTAACGGGTCACCCGAACCCGACCCGTTAAGCTAACGGGTCACCCGTTTCACCCATTAACATCCGTTAACAATTATTATTATTTTTTTTTTGCATAAAGTTTATTTTTTGTTATTAAGACTTTAATAAAATTACTAAAATATCCTCAACTAACGGGTGCTAACGGGTGTTAACGGGTCCTAACGGGTCTAACGGGTTGACCCAAAGTGACCCGTTATTTAACGGGTTCACCCGTTAGCGACCCGACCCGTTAAACATCTACCCAAATACAAATATTAACGGGTTGGGTCGGGTCGGGTTAACGGGTTGGGTCCAAAATGCCAGGCCTACTTATATGTATATTCTCATCTTTACCTAGCACGAGGCCTTTTGGTAGCTCACTGGCTTCGGGTTCCATCGGAACTCCGAAGTTAAGCGAGTTCGCACGAGAACAATCCCATGATGAGTGACCCACTGAGAAGTTCTCGTGTGAGTTCC